ACCAAGTTTCAACCGAAATTAATGAAGTTATATTCTTAGGAAACTCAGCTAAATCAAAAGCTTGTTAGTTTTTGAATCATCGTACCCGTGTTATTGAATAAAGATTTGATATAACTTTTGATGAAAACATCATTCGAAACTCATAACCAACTAATGTTACAACTTATATCATGGAGGTTGATGGTTCACCTCATGGTTCTCTGAATCCTCAAGTTATATATGAAGTTCACTGTAAAAGCTTTTTCGAACCAGTAGAAATAGCACTTCACTCGAAATCCAAATCAAGACTCTCTTCAACTCTAAATCCTCATGTTTCTTAAAATTTATTTGGTCCGACGCCCATTCTTGCTCCATTTGATTCCAAAAATTTTCTATCTCAGAATGAGGGTGAGATTATCTCTACTTTTATGGCTTAAGGGAAGGGAAGAAATCCAATCCTTGAATCAAATGTTGAAGGTTTTCAAGATGTAGTACATTAATTTTCTTAAATTGATCCCATTCCAAACAATGACGATGATGCAAACTTCTTTGATTTTCCCTTCGTGGATGCAAATATCTTTGGTTCAGAAGTTTAGGGGGAGCATCAGCCTTATATTCAAATAGTTCAGGGGGAGAAACAAAACCTCATAATTGATGTCAGATCATCTAATGCACAAGAACTTCCGAGACTACATATTTATACTAAAGATAATCCTCCAGGCCAAGTCATCGGAAATCTAAATGGCAAAATTCAAACTTGCTCTGAAATTGATATTCAATATTAATGTTACCTCTATGAATTTATCTATATGGTTGAACCCAAATCCATCAATGAAGCTCTATAAAATTTTGATTAGATTACAGCCATGCAAGAAGAGCTAGCTGATTTTGATAGAAACGAAGTATGGAGTCTTGTCCTTCCTCGTTCGGATCACCCAATTTTTGGAACTCACTGGGTTTTTCGAAACAATCTCGATGACGTAGGAGTAATCACTTGAAATAAAGCAACATTGGCGGTCAAATGATTCACACAGATTGAAGGTCTTGATTATGATGAGACATTTACACATGTTGCCCATCTTGAAGCATTCTTATCTTTCTTGCATATGCAGCTCATAAAGCCTTCAAGGTTTATCAAATTAATGTTAAAAGTGCCTTCCATAATGATGAAATTGATAGTGAAGTATATCTTTAATACACTCTTGGTTTTGCAAATTTAGCATATCCTTGCTACAAACTCAAGAAGGTTGTCTATGGCCTTAACAAGCTCCTCGGTCCTTGCATGAGACCCTTACTTGTTTTATAAGGTGATCTAACTTTAAAAGAGGAGTTCTTAATCCTAATTTATTACAAAAAACCAATGGGAAACGTCTCATGTTGATTTTGATATATGTTGATGACATCATCTTCGGGTCTACCGATCCGATGATGGTTGCTAACTTTTCTAAGTTGATGGTTAGTCAATTCCAAATGAGTATGAATCATGAGCTTAGGCTTCTTCTTCAATGAATCTCTATTCACTAAGAAAAATAAATTTTCGAGCTTCTTAAAAAGTATTCGTCAGACACATGTGCATCTGCATAGGTTCCAATGGGGTTCACACACAAGATTTTTTCCGACCCATACGGTGAAGCCGTTTATCGAAAAAATATAGGGGTTGATCGGATCAATGCTATAACTCACTGGAAGTCGCCTTGACATCATGTTCTTGACATCTTTATGTGCTAGATTCTAGGCTAACCCGAAAATATCTCTCCTCTTGGTTGTAAAATAAAGTTTTCGATATCTCAAATAAACAATTAGCCTTAGAATTTGGTATCTTGTAAAAGAAAGCTTTTTGTGGAAAGCTTAATCGGATTCTAGCTATGATAGCCTACAACTTGATCGGAAGAGCACATCTGGTGGTTGGCAATTCATAGGTGGAATATTGGTATCTGGTCATCTAAGAAGCAGGACTGCATCGCACTCTCAACAGCTGCGGCGGAATACATCTATGTTGCAAGTTGCACATCTCAAGTTCTCTCGATGAAATCAAAACCTTTAGACTATGGTTTCCAATTTCACTAGAGCCTGAACTAGTATGACTCTCAAAGTGTCATCACGGTTTCTCATAACCTGATCCAATACTCCGTGACAAAATATATCGACACTCAGTACCCACTTTATTAAAGATCATGTTTTAAGCTGTAACATGGAGTTTATTTTTGTCCCAACTAATGATGAGATCGTCTATGCCTTCACTAAGGCATTGGACGAAACCAAATTCAACAGTTTTTTTGAGTGAAATGGAAATGTTGTTACGTGATCCTCAATTTTTCAAATAAGTTTTCACTCTCTGATGGCAACATCAGAAAGTCAAATAATTCTGAGTGTAATTTATTTTTCTTCATAAATGTTGCATCTTGGAAAATAAAGGATCATTTTATGTTTTTTATGTAACCTTTCATATAGTTTATGCTTTTTTAAGTTATCATGATTGAGTTAAGTCAGTTCATTCTGAACTCATACTTTGTCAATAATTTTCAAAAGTCTCTCAAGGTGATCAATAATTTAACATTCCGATCTACCTTTAATAAAATTATCTTGGAATTCAAATCCGAAATGGTAATGTGATCTTTTTTTTCTCTCTTTCTGACCTCTATTCGTTTAGCTCTCGAAATTTCTCAAGTCTCTGTTTTAGTCTCTAAGACCTATAAGATCTTCAATGTAACTTTTATCTCTAATATCCATTCTAGAATTTGTGTAATTTCTCAGATCAATATCAAACATCATTGAATGATTTTCCTTTCTCGGAAGCATCTAATGTCTGTTGTTTTTTTTAAAATTTCATGGATCCAAATTTATCCTTCAAATAAATGAATAATTATCCATTTGAAGCTTTTCATGTAATCTTTGTTACTGAAAAATCCAAAAAAAGGATTTTCAATGCCATAATTATTTCTTCGACCTGAATCGGAACAAACTACCTATAAAAGTATTTTGAATGCAAATTGTTCCCTCTTTATTCTCTTTATCTCTCTTTGTCATAGAACTTATTATGTATTTTGCGCTCGTCATCTTAAAGCTTAGAACCTCATCAATGGCGTCCAAGGTCACAAAATCCCCATCGAAGAAGAAATCCTCCAAAGAATGTGTCACATCTTCTTCCTCGGAACCCATCTTGAAGGAAACCACTCAACTATTTTCACTCAATCCTCTCAATTACGTTAAATATGATAGGGTTATGATCGAATGTATCTCCCACCATCCCGTCACCATTCCTCTCATAAAAATCCCAAAACCTAATATACCTTTGAGATTGTTGTTCAAAGCTTTTGTACATTTGAATATCGACAACAATGTACTTGCATGTCTCATAACTAATGATAGGATTGTTCCTGTCACCAAAGAAACCTTCCTCAAATCTATTAGGGTTTCTTAATTGAAAAAGCTTTTCAATTTTTTGAACCCACTATAGAACAATTTCAATGGATTTTGAATGAAATTGGCTTCAAATGAGTGTATAAGTCAAAAGAATTCAATAAATCGGTGGTTCCTGGGATATAGACGATCCTTCTACACATTATGATGAAGGGTCTTTTAGGCAAGCATGGACGCATAGACTCCATGAGCCAAGCCTGACTATACCAGGACTACAACATCTTCATCGGAAGATCAAACATCGTCGACCTACCTAAAGTCTTATGGAAAGACTTTTAGAAGATTGCTATTCTTCAGAAAGCAAACAAGATTCTGAGTCAGACACACCTAAGTTATACTAGGCACTCACACTTCAATAAATCTACTAGGACAGATGTGAACCTGTTCCCTTGATGTCAGACACGTCTAAGTTATACTGATTCATTAAATTTATTTAGTCTTATCATTTACTAAATCAGATTTCCTTTGGTCCTATCCGATGTTTACTACAACATATGTTGGACTTTCTTCCTTTTGAATCTCCCTTAAAAGCACAACATATAGATGATTCATAATTAGTTGACCCCCTAATTCCTACCCGGAACTTAGGTGTCATCCCCTCATAAGAAGAGAAATCATCCAATAAACGAGGCCATATTATGATCAAAACCAAGAAGTTTCCGATTCCTTCACCTGTCAAAGTCAATGCCAAAAAGAGAACCAAAACCGATGAATCCTCTCAACAATATTCACAAACTAGTGCTCGACCTGACTTTGGGTCTCTGCCAACCCCACCCACCTATTCTTCTGATGTACCCATCAGAGTATTAATATCACGGGTGCATACTTATGGGGAGTCTAAACACAATCTACCACAACCCTCCCAACAGGGTGGTGCCAATATTGTACAATGTTGCATAGGGATCTCTGGAACACACTCACGAGTTACTATTGATCCTTTTGCTTCTACAGAAGCATGATCTATGGCATCCACCATAGATCGCAATTTTTACAAACAAGGAGGTGTTCCTCCAAGTTTGAAGCCACAACCGAACCGATAACCACCACAAGTAAAGGAAGTTCGGGTATTACTAACACCGCATGGGATGATTATCTTAACAGGGCTCAACTCAGACATCTAAAACTCACACAAAATTAGATAGAGTTCATCATGACTAGAATGCGACCCAGAGTTTCTTGTTACAACATGAGCATTATCTCATTCCGAAACATGTATATTGTGATGTTTATCTTTCCCACATCAATACATAAATTCACATTTCCAATGATGTTCCCACAAACATGGACGATCCAACCAATGTTTTAGAAGATTCCGAGTGAAGATGTGCCCGACCAAGGCCAATTTGGATGAGCCTCCTCAAATTAATGAATAAGCTTAAGGAGATGTTCTCAAATCTAATATAGTTTAGGGTGGTCCACTTCATGCTTATTAAATGATGAAGCTGGCTGTCAGATCTTGTTTGATGATGTAAACATTAAAATCTCAAATGTTCTACCTTCCCGTTCAAAATTTCAGTTCCTTCAAGATTCCTCGTCCAAATGCAAAATCAAATTTCATTTCCAATCATCTTTTGAAGACGTGGACCTAGGTGATAGTGGAAACAATGATCGAGTAAAAGCACCTACAACTGGTGGTGCTAGTGGTGGTAATCCGGATGATAATGGTGATGAATCGAGCAATTCAGGTGAAGGATCCAATTCCAATACTGACTCCTCAGATGAAAATATTGACGATCCATTTTCTCTGCTTGACATACGAGAGAGGATTGAACATGTTGATGCTAAAATTGATATTTTTAATGCTTAGGTTGAAGCCATGAACTCAAAACTGAATTTGTTCATTAAATCCATTTCCGATGTCAATTCTACAACCCTATCCATTCAATATCAAGAACAACAATTGGATCAACTGATATTTCTATGACTCTAGCATTCAATGGAAGATTCCAAATAATGTTATTCCAATCTCATCAATCATCATAAAGACATTATTCAGAAAATGTCGATGGTCTAGGATGAGTTAGTCAAGGCAATAAAAAAGCTCATCAAACAAACTCACATCCGACATGAAAAACAAATTGAACACTTAAAAAGGGAAATCTAATCAAAGGACTCAAATAACCTCATAATGCAGGAAGTCCACATCAAAATAATTCCGTTAGCCCAAAATTTTGTGGACATTTAGAATTACAAATTTGATGAAGTCCTTCAGATCTTTGAAGACACCCTTAAAGCTCAAGCTCCCACTGTAGAAGCTAAACATAATATTTCAAAGATGGTGAATATAATATTTTAAAAGGTATTTGATAAGATTACATAATTAAAGGATGATATGAGGCCTGTTTTAGAAGCGGGGCCTTCCACTGCAAGAAAAGGGAGAAATTGAAATGACTACATGGAAGCCAAACTTAGAATTCCAACTCCAAGATGAATCTACAGAAGAGGAAGATGAGTTGATGGTAAACAAAGAAGATGATAATAAGGAGATAGCTAATGAGAGAATTCTATTAGCACTCCAATCCAAAAGAGAGCTACCTTCGTTCAAAAAAATCATTTCCAATGAAGATAAGAAGATTTGGTCTTCCTGGACATCAACACTGGATGACTTTTTAAAACGAAGCTTGGAGATAGGCAAACTCAAAACGTAGTTGAATGTTGATGCTTTATGAGCAAACAAGGCCTCCTCCAATTCCCTATTTGAAAATTGCTCAAGTTGATGAATGATCCCTTATCAAGAAGGATGATGATCGTCCAGGCCCCAAATTTATCCTAACAATTTCCAAAGTGACTGTGACTCTTGCCACTCATAAAATCATCCAAGTCACCTTTGATGCTCCAATAAATAATAAGGGAAAATGGAATTTCTTTTGAAGGGTTCTTCGAATCCTATGTTTGGAATCTCACTGTACTATTTAGAAGGAAGATTATATGACATTCACATGGTTCCTTTTGTGATTTTTAACCTTCCTGCTTCAGACATAAAACAACTCGATCTGACAATTTTTCTTATGGTAGATTCTATGTGAAATTTTTGCCTTTTCATCCACCTGATGGACAAGAAATTATTGTTTAAATTAAAAGAGAAAGCATGCATAATTTCTACTTCACTAATGCTCTTCTTGTGAAAGAATCATAGTCAAAATGAAGAATTGAATAGATAAGTGGATGTGGAATCAAGATTCTGAGCAAATTCAGACAAGATTGCATTCTTTATATTTCCTACATCAATTGAACACTAAAAAAAGATCACAATGTAGGATGTTGACTATGCATCGATCAACGAAAACGATGTTCTTGTAATTCTTGCTCACCTTAAGAACAAGAAAGACTATGAAACAGGCATTGGAGTCTACAATGTTGCCTTGAATTTTCTGAAAGACTATGTTAAATAATTTAGCCGTTCTAATGTCGAGTTTATTTCTTTATTCGGAACTGTGAAGCTCCTTGCCCCAATTGACACTGAAGTAGAAGAAGTTAATGTGCTAAATGAAGGTCCTATCATAAATCGTGACCTTGAATATGTGTACAAGAAGAAGAATTAAAAAAATGCAAGAGTTCTTCAGAGTTACGCAAAAGCTCCAGGTTCACACCAATGTGCATCAAAAAAAGTTCTCCAAAAGTGATCAAGCAACTGCCATGGAGGATAAAAGTTAAAAACTAGTTGCAAATATCATATTTGTTTGCTTTTGGAGAAATTTGTGAACTCTTGTCAATTTTTAGACATTCTGAGTTATCAATATTCTAAGATGATGGTAGTTCCAAGGAAGCTAAATTTAAAGCTGTTAGAGATTCTGAAGTTAATTGAATACTAAGTGATGCAATATATCTACTATTTTGTCATGTTGTATTTTGTCTTATTAATTGTAACGCATGTAAGAGATAAAGGTCAACCACACCAATGTGCTAGGTGGTTGATCTGTAGTTAACTTTTCATACATGTGTCTCCTTCTATGATTAGTCCTACGTTAGTATAAATAGGACCAACCCATGTAACTTCTTGCAACTTTTCCCACTTTTAAAGTATCAAATCAAGAATTATTTAGTCAATTGTTTTTCGCACTCTCTTTTTTCTTGCTCATCTTCATACTTTTATTACTCTTTATCATTATCTTGAATATTTTTTTGATTATTATCTTCAGGGATTGATTGGTTCATCCAAACTTTACTAGAAAGATTATTCGCCTCCATTGTTGTGTATATCTCAACCTTTGAGTTTTCAAACCTAGTCCTAGATATCTTAGATATTGCCTTGAACTCACATTAAGAAGAAAGAAAGAAATGTCATTTTATGAAATGATATTTGAATGGGCTCTATTGTTAAAGAGATGCCAAGAGCATATAGAAAGATTGATATTATGGTATCATGATATAAGTATGTGTTAAAGATGAAGTGTCCTCATGAGTGGACAATAGATAGAATATGTGTCCCAAAAAAAGAGTTAATAGTGAAGTTATAGAATAAGGAAAGAAAAAGGGACATGAAGAGAAGAAAGAGTAAGATCATTTGTATACCCAGAGAGAGAAAAGAAATATGAGAGTCTATGTTGAATGGACCCTAGCGTCAAAGAAGTGTACTTATAAGTACAAGAGTTGATTGGTATTGCTTGAGAGCAAGTGACCATGCAGAGAAGAAATTACATTGCTAAATTGAAAGTGTATGAGATAAGATTAGTAGTGCTTGCACCAAGTCAATGATGCTGTGGTGATATCATTGACTAAAGATATATTAGAAAAGATGTAACACGTTAAGATTTCAAACAAATTTTTCATTTTAAAATCACATAATTCTCGTTAACACATTTCAAAAAAACCCCAAAGTGTCAAATTATCTAAAACACATATCCATAATTGTTTAAATAAAATCCAGGATCCTAAAAAGCGTAATTGCATCTAGTGTGTACAATCAAGTCGGTGCCTTCCCGCGATTCTGAAAAGTACCTGAAACACATATCACATAACACGGTAAGCACGAAGCTTAGTGAGTTCCCCAAAATACCACACACATCTCATTATCCTCTCATGGATATATCTTGAATAATACCCTCCGGTTAATGTGTCTCAGTGGAAACCCTTCTGTCCCATAACTCCAGTGGACCCTCCGGTCCTAATTCAGTAAAGCTCAGAATAATACACATCATAAATCACAAAGACATAATATAGGATATCACAACACTCAATAAAAGCATACAAGACCCTACGGTCACACAAAGTTACCACTCATGGTATGTATAGTGAGAAGACTTTCCTCGTAAGTAAGCAAGGAAACTGCGTACCCCTTGAACGGTCTAATCCCCGCCTACATATCATAAGCATCTCTAATTAACACTTAAAATCACAACTCTAAATAAATCAAGCTATCCCCCCTCTATAACTCTTGGGATAAGTAAAGGACCATTTTACCCCTCCATGGTCTCCATAATCCCTGTCTTGACTCAACCCTAAAGTCAACAGAAGTCAACACTCGAGTCAACAGTCCATGTTGACCCAACTCGTTGAGTGTATCTATGTAACTAGTTGAGTTCCCTTGTTTCTTCAGCAATGTCGTGAAAATCCAACTTAACTCGTCGAGTTGTCTCATCAACTCACCGAGTTACACATGTTCAGACTCGTCGGCGGAAAACCCTAGCCGACTCGTCAAGTCAGCTCATCGACTCGTCGAGTCCTTCAGACCATTTTCTCATTCAGACGATTTTAGACAGAAATTTTGCCTCATACTCTAGATCTAGCCTTCTAAATCTCACTTATCACATAAAGTTGCAATCTTTACGTTCATACATGGCATCTATGGCTCAAAATGCCAAAATAAGTTGGGGTCTCATGCATGGAAACTTGTCCAACGCTTGATAAAGCTTGGATCTTTGGGCTCATGGGACCTCAATATGTCCAGATATGGAGTCTCCACTCCATGAGAAGGTCATAATGCTCTAGAATCCAAAGAAGGATGGGAAAAAGGCTCTTAACTCCCTAAAAATGAGATCTGACTAAACAATGAGCAAGATAGTGACTTTTTACCTTCAAACAGAAGCTATAAATGAATCGACACTAGATCCAAAAGCTCTTTCTTGTCCAAGGTCTCTTGCTCTTCAACTTTCCTCCAAGAATGCACTAAAACTCACAATATTACCCCCTCTTTCTCACATACAAGGTTACAGCTCGATTAGGGTTTCACACTGTGTAGGAGGGTGACAAGGGTGGCGGAAATGAGGGCATAAGGTCCTTTAAATAGGAGACAGACCCAGAAAATTAGAGTTTCCTCACACAACTCCTACTCATCGAGTCGGGGTCCTCCGATTCGTCGAGTAGACTCTAAAAATCGTACGGCCATAATAGTTCCTAATCGACGAGTTGGTGCTTCCAACTTGTTGAGTTCCATCTCAAAATTAATAAAATAATTTAAATGTCATACATGGGAGTCGGGATGTTACAATTCTCCCCCACTAGAACCAGACTTCACCCCCGAAGTCATTCTCCGGAAACAACTCGGGGTACTGCTCTCGCATCTCGGACTCCAACTCTCAAGTCCAATCGGATCCTTTCTGATGTTGCCACTGAACCTGAACCAAGGGCACCTCTTTATTCCTCAAGACCTTCACCTTGCTATCTAAGATCGTTATCTACCTCTCAATGTAATCCAGGCTCGCATCTACCTGAATGTCCTCTAAAGGGACCACTATCGTCTCATCGGCTACACACTTCCTTAGCTGAGATACGTCGAAGGTGTTATGGATCTGATTCAGCTCTATAGGTTGCTCCAACCAATAAGCTACCTTACCCACTCGGGGGATCATGCTAAAAGGACCAATGTAA